TGTGTGTGTGTGTGTGTGTGTGTGTGTGTGTGTGTGTGTGTGTGTGTTGTCGTCTTTAAACCCGGTGATCACATCCAGATTACATCATGTGAGATGTGTAAAATGTGCACGCATGCTGGATCTTGTCTTGTGGATCCCGTCCAGCTCAACACTTCCTGTGAACTCTTTCTTGATGTGCGCGGCCTTTATTATTATATTCTTTAGGATTTATTATTTTATCTTGACTCGAGACAACCAGACGTTTTTACCACGGTAATCTGAGTAACTGTTACTTCTAAAAGAAGGAAAAGTCTCAGATTGAACTCGAGGTTTGGTGAACAGAAGGTCTCGGCTCTGAAAAGGATTAAAAACTTTATTTGTTGGACTTCTTGTTGACAACATTCCTGTTTCTGACGTGGAGATGAAGGAGAGAGGGAAGAAATCCCAGAAACGTGGAAATCAAAGTGAAAGAAAGACGGGGAGCTTTAAAAACATCAGGAGAGAGAGGCTCTTATTTGGTCTCTTTGGTGGTCTGAAGCCGGGTCTAACTGGATGTTGAACCCGGAGCAAAGCACACCGGGGGGAGAAATGAGTTAGGGGTTGGAGGAGAGGGTGAGTGGGGGGTCCTGGGCTGGGGGTTACACCACCAGAGTCCCACAATTCATCATGCTCTGGCACCGACGAGGGCTGTCTGGACGGATCCGAGGTGGGGAGCCGGGAGGGGGGGATTGATGGCCAGCAAGACTCTGTGACCTCCTGTTTCCCCAGGAGAGGAGATAGAGTGTGTATGGTGGTGGTGGTGGTGATTGGGGGGGGGGGGGGGGGGGGGGGGGCGGGCCCCCCCGGGGGGGGGGGGGGGGGGGGGGGGGTGTCATCATCGCCCTCCATCGTCCTGCATTCAGATGAAGAGTTTCGAAGTCGAGCAGAATCAGAAAACGTCTTCATGTTGTCCAGCTGCAGGATCCTCCGACTCGCTGCCTTCACATCAGACATGACAGATTATTTGTTTTTCCTCCCCACCCCTCCTCCTCCTCCTCCTCTCCCTTCTCTCCTCCTTTCTCCTCTCTTCCCTGGCTTCTATCCTTCCTTCCTAACAGGACTTCCTGCAGGGCGACAGCACCAAGGCGTATGAGAGGTTGGGCTGGAAGCCGAAGGTGACCTTTGAGGTGCGTCAGTTTGGTCTGAAACACACCTGGCTGAGCCGGATTAACATGCACAACACTGACATATTAAAACTATTTCATATCAAATAATAAAACCATTAAAATATATATATTTAACACTCAGACATATATTTTCGTTTTAAGCAGAAATGTCTTCGTGTTACAAATGTAGATTATTTATTAACATTATTTTAAAAATAAGATGTTTAAAAGTTCATGAGAAATGAAGAAGCGTCTATCAGCAATAACTTGTATAAACAGTGAGAATAAATATTTATCTTTTATAGAAATTTAAATATAGCTTTTTATAAAGCAATTATATATATATATATATATATATGTTATATGTATACA